GAGTCTTGATGTGGGTAGAATATAGTTGTGCATTAATTGGCTGTTGATTGCTGGTGTTGACTTCTTAATGTGTAGTGCCTCGCAGATATCAAGCCGCCTGCTGTCGCTGTATCTATCGATGATTTCCGTGTATTTTGTTAAGACTTCTCTGGTGATGGTCTGGTTGTGGGAAGAGATTATATGTTCCTTAATGGAGCCCTGTTGCTTATGCATCGTTAATCGCCTGGAAAGAGATGTTGTTGTCTTGCCTATATACTGAGTTCTTTGGGGCTTACAGTCCCCAAGTGGGCATTTAAAGGCATAAACGACGTTGGTCTCCTTTAAGGCATTCTGTTTGGTATCTGGAGAGTTTTTCACGAGTTGATTGGCCGTTTTTTTGGCTTTATAATAAATTGTCAATTGTATTTTCTGACTTTTGTCTGTAGGGATAACGTTCCTATCAACAATATCTTTCAGGATCCTTTCCTCTGTTTTATTAGCCGTCGAAAAGAAGACTCTATTTATCTATCTATCTATCTATCTATCTATCTATCTATCTATCTATCTATCTATCTATCTATCTATCTATCTATCTATCTATCTATCTATCTACCTATTTATCTACCTATCCATCTACCTATCTATCTATCTATCTATCTATCTATCTATCTATCTATCTATCTATCTATCTATCTATCTATCTATCTATCTACCTATCTATCTATCTATCTACTGTCTGTATCTGTCAGTGTCTCTATTCCTGAGAGATACCTGTATTTGTCTCTCCCTCTCTTCCTGTCTCTATCCTTATCTATCTCTCTATCAATCTCTCTCAACAGCCTGCCTGGGAAACTTCAGAAGCCTTCTGATAATATCCTCAGGAGAGGATAAAGTAATTGCAGAGCTCAAGGTACTTAACACCAGGATGATAAGAAACCTTTATAATAAGCTATACGATTTGTTCATCAATGTTTTAGGTGAATACGGAGGTAATAATACAGAAGATTTCATCAATCAGTTGTGCAACACTAACATCGTACAAGGCAAACAGCAGCCAGAAGATCAGCCCGTCTTCACACCGAATCCATTACCATGAGAAACCAAGTCAACACCGGGTAGACTCGGGTACCGAGTCGACCCAAGCACCGGGTAGAATTGGGTACCGGGTCGACCCTAATACCGGGTACCAGGTCGACCCAAGCACCGGGTAGACTTTGGTACCGATGAAGAAAATTCTCCAAATAAACTTTGAATTGACATAATAAATAAAATTAAAGGGCAAAGTTAATAGTGACAAATGAATACCAATAAAAACAAAACAAATCAATTAAAATTCACTGTTAAATGCCACAATCGCCAAATTCTTCTAAATCAATGATACTGATGTATACCTTGATTTATATTCCTAATAGATAGTGATAATATTTGTATCAATTCATTGTAATACTCGAAATATATAACGACAGCATAATTTTTAACAATACATCTATTAAAGTGTATCTTTGTCTAAATCTTCCTTACAGGTGGCATATCCATTCGTGCATGAGGTTCCATTCGTATCCGTACTAGCAACAGCGGTAAACGCACGTCAGGCAGCCATTATGGGCAACGTTTACAACCCAGCTTATGTAACAAACAACTTATTCCCGCATGCCATCCCGCTGACGCCCTGGAAGCAGTTCCTCAACACACTTGTACACATACTTCAACCCATCTATTTTAATTCATGGTTGTACTTACCCATGGTGCAAAAAGAGGTGAGTCAAGCTCGGCTGCACTGATGATTATACGATAAATAAAGAAGGGTAACAGGATTATATTTGATTTCCTCTTGTTACAGGTGTGACGTTTCCTCGAATCATTAAAGTTCTATTTTTTATGTAATAATTTTTGTAAAAGATTATACCCGATAATTGGTACTAAGAGTCTATCTTTCCCATTTTACACTGTAGTGTTTTCAGTCAGTCTACTCCACAGGAGCTATGTACTCGTTAAATAAATTCCTGACCAGCGTGCAGTACAGGTCTGATGTTATTCCTCAGATCTCTGCACAGTTCCCGGAGCTGCCGCCGCTGTTAGACCTGGAGAGGAACATGAGTCTGGCGCTGATCAACACCCACTTTAGCATTGGTATGCCACTCCCTCTCCTGCCGTCACAGGTGGAGGTGGGCGGCATGCACTGTCGACCCGCCAGTCCTCTGCCTCAGGTGAGTTGTCCTGCCCTCACAGGTGGAGGTGGGCGGCATGCACTGTCGACCCACCAACCCTCTGCCTCAGGTGAGTTGTCCTGCCGTCACAGGTGGAGGTGGGCGGCATGCACTGTCGACCCGCCAGTCCTCTGCCTCAGGTGAGTTGTCCTGCCCTCACAGGTGGAGGTGGGCGACATGCACTGTCGACCCACCAACCCTCTGCCTCAGGTGAGTTGTCCTGCCGTCACAGGTGGAGGTGGGCGGCATGCACTGTCGAACCGCCAGTCCTCTGCCCCACCAGGCGAGTTGTCCGGCCTCTCATGCCCTCATAGGTTGCGAAATAACTCTTAATTAGTGCTTGCGTAACATAGATTATTTCACATTCTTATCCATACTTGTTTTCGTGGCCTCAGCTTTATGTGTTCCTCTTCAGCGACACCTCAGTACTTCTGTCACTGTTGTTTTAGTGTTGCAAACCAACACTATGAACAGATTTTACAATATTTAATAAGAAAATCCTTTTGTTTCATTATACAATTTGCGTTTAGAAATTATTCATTCCATATAAAACCCTCCAGAATCTTGGGAACAAGTCCCCTCAACATCACTTTGCAGAATCTGGAGTCATGGATCACAGGGGCGGGGTCCGCTGGCGTCATCTACTTCAGTTTGGGCTCCATAACGCAAGGCACCGACATGCCAGTCCAGTACCGCGACCTCTTCGTCCAGGTCTTCCGCAGGCTGCCGCAGCGCGTCATCTGGAAATACGAAGGTGTGATAGAGAACGTTCCTGACAATGTGATGATCACCAAGTGGCTTCCCCAGCAGGATATTCTTGGTGGGTTTAACTGTTTGTATGTGTACACTTAACAATATGTGGGAAATTTCTTATGATGCAGATACATTGGGAGATTACCAAAAGAATATAATACAAAATCAGAATTTTCCTCAGTAACTCCTATCTACTTTAAAAACAATGACAGGTGTTAAAACCCACTTTACATACAAACAAATCTTTCATTTAACACCATTTCTACCGCAGCCCACGACAACGTCAAGGTGTTCATCACGCACTGTGGTCTCTTGGGTCTGCAGGAGGCCGTCTACCATGCGACTCCCCTCCTCGCCCTCCCTGTGTTCGGAGACCAGCCCAGGAATGCTCTCATAGTGAGGGAGTCTCGTCTGGGGCGCTCTCTGGTGTGGGAGGAGATCACTGTTGACATCATTGTCGACGCTCTCATCGATATCATCAACGACCCCAAGTTGGTATTTTGTCAATTTTATTGGATCAAAAAAGGTGATGATTATATATACATATATATGTCGTACCTAGTAGCCAGAACGCACTTCTCTGCCTACTATGCTAGGCCCGATTTGCCTAATAAGTCAAGTTTTCTTGAATTAATGTTTTTTCGACTACCTAACTTACCTAACCTAACTTTTTCGGCTACCTAACCTAACCTAACCTATAAAGATAGGTTAGGTAGGGTTGGTTAGGTTCGGTCATATATCTACGTTAATTTTAACTCCAATAAAAAAATTTACCTCATACATAATGAAATGGGTAGCTTTATCATTTCATAAGAAAAAAATTAGAGAAAATATATTAATTCAGGAAAAGTTGGCTTATTAGGCAAATCGGGCCTTGCATAGTAGGCCGAGAAGTGCATTCTGGCTACTAGGTACGGCATATATATATATATATATATATATATATATATATATATATATATATATATATATATATATATATATATATATATATATATATATATATATATCTTGTTCTGTCTTGTGTTGATGAAATTAATACCCTATTAATGCCACCTCACCCCATCCACCTCTCTCAAATGTAGATATAAAATCTGAGATGCGTAAGTTCTATTCAGTTGTGTATTTGTAAACTAAAAGTCTTTGAAAATGTAATAAGTTTTACGAAACGCGCTCGTGTCGCGTCAGACTAGAAATAAAAATGAATTTTGGAGAATTGATTTTTGATTTACCTCCAACAGTGAAAAGAAATGTACAAAAGATTGAGAAAATTCGTGTTAGAATTATTAATCTTACTTTTTCGGTCATATTTAATAATATATGTCTACAGGAAAGACTGCTACCAAAATATACTAATATATATATATATATATATATATATATATATATATATATATGTCGTACCTAGTAGCCAGAACGCACTTCTCAGCCTACTATGCAAGGCCCAATTTGCCCAATAAGCCAAATTTTCATGAATTAATTATTTTTCGACTACCTAACCTACCTAACCTAACCTAACCTAACTTTTTCGGCTACCAAACCTAATCTAACCTATAAAGATAGGTTAGGTTAGGTTAGGTAGGGTTGGTTAGGTTCGGTCATATATCTATGTTAATTTTAACTCCAATAAAAAACATTGATCTCATACATAATGAAATGGGTAGCTTTATCATTTTATAAGAAAAAAACTTGAGAAAATATATTAATTCAGGGAAACTTGGCTTATTAGGCAAATCGGGCCTTGCATAGTAGGCTGAGAAGTGAGTTCTGGCTACTAGGTACGACATATATATATATATATATATATATATATATATATATATATATATATATATATATATATATATATATATATATATATATATATATATATATACATATGTCGTACCTAATAGCCAGAACGCACTTCTCAGCCTACTATGCAAGGCCCGATTTGCCTAATAAGCCAAGTTTTCATGAATTAATATATTTTCTCTAATTTTTTTCTTATGAAATGATAAAGCTACCCATTTCATTATGTACGAGGTCAATTTTTTTTTATTGGAGTTAAAATTAACGTAGATATATGACCGAACCTAACCAACCCTACCTAACCTAACCTAACCTATCTTAATAGGTTAGGTTAGGTTAGGTGGCCAAAAAAGTTAGGTTAGGTTAGGTTAGGTAGTCGAAAAACAATTAATTCATGAAAACTTGGCTTATTAGGCAAATCGGGCCATGCATATTAGGCTGAAAAGTGCGTTCTGGCTACTAGGTACGACATATATATATATATATATATATATATATATATATATATATATATATATATATATATATATATATATATATATATATATATATATATATATATATATATATTTATGATCGATGTTCCCTTCGGGAATCTTAATTTTAAGATGAATAGGAAAACCAGGGATATACTGAACATCTTGTATCAGAATCTTTACTTTAAAAAACATAACGTTTCGAATACTTCTCGTATTCATCATCAGATCTAAAAGAAAAAACAGAAATCACAGTCAAATAGCTGGTAAACAAAGAACTCATACTGAATATAATTGCCTATCAAAGAAAGGAAAAAGCTTAATTTCTCATATAGGTTGTTAAATAGCAACCTTTCAGCTGTCCAATTGTACACTGTATAATGCACAGTAGGCCCTGTAATTTGATTTTTAGTTTATTTTGGTAGTTTAATTTTGTTTAGTTTACCATGTCCTTGCCCTTTCTTACTTATTTTAAGTCTTAACATTGTACATTAATATAATCTTCTATGTAGGATATATAATACATTTTTTGGTATTTAATTTTATTTAATATTTGAGTTTTTATAAGATTTGGTTAGCACTTTGTAATTGTCGTTTATTCTGTTTGTATTTTACATACATTTTTTGTAGATTTGTAGACATTATATAAATATTTGTTATAGTGTTTAGTATCTATGTGTTAGGTATCAAGTTTCACTTCTGATCACTTCACGTAAGTTTAATAGAATGGTTTGTTTTAGTAGTTATAAATTTCATCTTGTAGTTTAATGGATTTTAAATTAGTTTTAATATATGTGACAGTTAATAAGTTTTATTTGTATTGATCACTTTAAGTGCGCTTAAGTGTTTTGTTTTTTAAGCTTTTTCCTTTCTTTGATAGGCAATTATATTCAGTATGAGTTCTTTGTTTACCAGCTATTTGACTGTGATTTCTGTTTTTTCTTTTAGATCTGATGATGAATACGAGAAGTATTCGAAACGTTATGTTTTTTAAAGTAAAGATTCTGATACAAGATGTTCAGTATATCCCTGGTTTTCCTATTCATCTTAAAAATATATATATATATATATATATATATATATATATATATATATATATATATATATATATATACCCGTCACAGGTGGAGGTGTCCTGCCCTCACAATATATATATATATATATATATATATATATATATATATATATATATATATATATATATATATGTCGTACCTAATAGCCAGAACGCACTTCTCAGCCTACTATTCAAGGCCCGATTTGCCTAATAAGCCAAGTTTTCATGAATTAATGTTTTTTCGTCTACCTAACCTACCTAACCTAACCTAGCTTTTTTTGGCTACCTAACCTAACCTTACCTATAAATATAGGTTAGGTTAGGTTAGGTAGGGTTGGTTAGGTTCGGTCATATATCTACGTTAATTTTAACTCCAATAAAAAAAATTGACCTCATACATAGAGAAAAGGGTTGCTTTATCATTTCATAAGAAAAAATTATAGTAAATTTATTAATTCAGGAAAACTTGGCTTATTAGGCAAATCGGGCCTTGAATAGTAGGCTGAGAAGTGAGTTCTGGCTACTAGGTACGACATATATATATATATATATATATATATATATATATATATATATATATATATATATATATATATTATTAAATATGACCGAAAAAGTAAGATTGATAATTCTAACACGAATTTTCTCAATGTTTCTAACATTTTTCTTCACTGTTGATGGTAACTGAAAAATCAATTCTCCAAACTTCATTTTTATTTCTAGTCTGATGCGACACTTGAGCACGTTTCGTAAAACTTATTACATTTTCAAAGACTTTAGTTTACACACACACACAACTATAACTGAACAGAGCTTAAACATCTTCGATTTTATACCTGCATTTGGGTGAGGTGATATGTTACAACAGTTTTGGATGAGGTGAAAACAAACTTTCAACACAAGACAGAACACGAAACAATGGGTATAATATTTTGTAAGTTAAAGGGAAGAATGGAAGTAACTGCAAAGGGCCTATTGGCCCATATTTCTTGATGCTTCTATATTGGTGCAGAGTCTTGAAGTGGGTAGAATATAGTTGTGCATTAATTGGCTGTTGATTGCTGGTGTCGACTTCTTAATGTGTAGTGCCTCGCAGATATCTAGCCGCCTGCTATCTGCGAGGCACTACACATTAAGAAGTCGACACCAGCAATCAACAGCCAATTAATGCAAAACTATATTCTACCCACTTCAAGACCCCAACAGTCTTGATTTGTACATACATATATATGCATGTAGATAGCTACATACGTATACATACATACATACATACATACATACATACATACATACATACATACATACATACATACATACATACATACATACATACATACATATATTATAAATTCCAAGCACTATGATTGAAACTTGAACTTGCACTCACGGTAAGCAGAGTGCTGTACCACTAGAACACCACATAATGTAATGATCATAATTGTTCACCTGACTCAGCCTCTTACCCGGGTGTATTTGGGTTTCATGGTCATCTGTTTCATGTTCAGGTTTATGCACGGAATAATCTAACAAATGATAAGCCTGAATGGTCCCCCAGGCTGTATTTTATGTATACTTGAAAATTCATAGCCCAAGGCTGAGACTTGCAGTTCCACTTGCTTCGTTATAATTATGGCTTCTCTGTATATCTTTGCTATTTACCATGTTTTCATGCGACAATGATCATTAATTTTCCTTTTCACATCCCTGGTGGTCAGGTATAAAGAAAACGTGATGAGGATGTCAGAAGGGATGAGGGACCGGCCGACGTCGCCCAGGGAGCTGGCAGTGTTCTGGACGGAGTACGTCATCCGCCACCGTGGGGCGCCCCAGCTGAGGTCCCCGGCGGCACAGCTCTCCTGGGTGGAGTTCCTCATGCTCGACGTCCTGTTCCTCCTCCTCCTGGCTCTCTTCCTCCTCCTCTTCATCCTACGTCGCTTCTTCAGGGGCATCGCTGCTAAACTGTTTTGTAGTGACGGTAACAAGAAGAAAAATAGTTACCTACGATGACTACAATGTTTTCTGTTGGGACCTCAGCCAGCATTACTTGTTCTTACTGGCAGAATTGGTAAAGATTTGAAAAATGTCTTTATTTCATATAAAACAGAGAGTTTCAAATATCTTTACATATTAAATAGACAAACACGCATACTCATCTACAAGCAGAGTACACACACATAATTTGTGTAATGGGATGATAGAAGTTGAGAGTAAATCAAAGAAAATACAAGTGAAAGGAAGGAAAATCAAGAGTAAAGATAAAAACCACATGACCTGGAGAATGTGCACTGATAAAAAACTACTACACAGCTACGGTGGGAAATCGAAGAGAGCACCAAGAAACTGGAATGCAGGCAATAATAATATCAATAAGACATAAAAAATAAAATGATAGTGATAAGTGGAGGAGAGAAGGAAATGCAAATGCCAAAGTGAGACAAGTGGAGAGAGAGGGGAAACAACCAGACAATAAAGGCACGGGAAATGTAGAATACTGAAAAGCAAGACACAATCCAATACCTTTGTAGTCGCAGTGAAATGTCTAGAGCGAGAAAAGCAATTAAAGCCGCCGTGTTAGAAGCTTCAAAGACCAAACATGTAGTGATATAAAATGTAAAGGAAATCAGAGATTTATTATTATTCATAACCTACTGGAGCTTGTGAGTGGGCTCTGACTTGAGGGACAAGAAACTAGCTGGACTCAACGGTGGTCCAGAAGGATGGGCACCATTCCCTCCCTCTATCCTTACCCTCTAATCCCGTCCAAGTGCCACATAGTTGTACTGGCTTTGTGGTTTCTCCTGTCAATTACCCTCAGGACAAATGAAAAAATATATCTACAGACAGGCTGAGGTATCACTAACAATCCCGGAGGTTTAGAGCTACTCAACGAGAGAAGCAATATATGACAGTGAAGGGAAGATGACACATAACGTGTCATCAAGACACATTACGTGTCAACAAAACACATCACGTGTCATCAAGACACATAATGTGAGTAGTGAAGTTGAGGACTACGACCGTGCGCACCATCTGGACAGGTGTCTCTATTAGAGCCAGCTGTCCTGATGGGGCAAAGGTATGTAGCCACATAGTGATGTAGGGTGATTTTCCCGGATGTTGGCGCGTGTCGGATGCGTGTGAGCGTCCGGTGTTTGGTTACGTGGTCTGGGATCATGGAGGGTCATGTTGTGTGGGGTAGGAGAGTATGTGGGCAATGTGGGGGGTAAGTGGGAGAGTAATGAATATGAGGAGAAGAATATGTGGATGAGAGTAAATGAATATGTATGGGTGTTTGCCGTAGAGTTAATCCTGTGTGTAGATAATAGTTGATTAATAGATGAGTCTAAGTAAATGCTATGTAGAGGGTGTGTGGAGGTGTGAGGGGTCCCAACATAGCCGGATATGTTGATGGGGTGGGGGAGGGGTGAGAGGAGCTTCCCCTCGGCGTGAGAGGGTTCGAGGGTCATTGTGGTTTACGGTTTTTTGACAGCCATTATTTTCTTCGAGGTATGCAGCTGTGTTTAGTGATGATCCATGAGGGTAATAGTTGGGCCATACACGGGCAGGAAGTGACAGGAGGGTAGAAGAGAGAGAGAGCAGAGTCTCTTAAGATGTAGCAGTTGGCCGAGAAGGTCTGTTTTATGTAACAATACACGTGTGTATAGGTGAGAGACCAGGACGGATGTGGGCCATTAGCCTTAATCGTTTTTTAAAGTCTGCAGAGTGGTGTGTGTGTGTACTGTCCACCGTTCAGTGGCCGACTGAAGAGTACTTTCGAGTAGCTGGTGGTGTCATATCTTCCCCTCCCACCCCACTTCCCCTCAGCTCCCCTCATCAGGGACATGTACCATCTATCATGGGTCTGGAGGACTGCTTTGAGAGAGTTTTGACATAGCACACACTAGCCAGAATGTTTGCGTTTTCTCGCTAGTGAAAGAGAGAATATATGCGCCTTTTATAACATTCTTTGCTGAATATTTTAACTTTTTCTCACACAAGCAACCATATTGACGGTGCGCAATGACTGCCATTATTTCCTCCTACACGGGCGGAACCGCCGGGGGTTCCATTACCCACTGTGGTTTCGTTAAGGAAAGGGAGATGTAACTAGTGTCAGCAGGCCGCACCTGTTCCACATACCATCCCTCCTCACACTGGGGGGATACGGTAATGGGTGTACCAACACTCTCTCTCTCTCCTGACACACGGGACATAGCAAAGAGTGTGTCATTGTTCATTCTCAAAGATGAGCCATGACCTCAACATACAATTCCCAAATGTAGGCCTGGGGGTGAGAGCGGCTTCCCTTCTTGCCTTCCCTTCATCACCTAACTGAGGTTAAATGAGACATTACTGACTCCCCATATCCCCGCTCCAACCCCAACCCCCCCTCCCACACCCCCTTCCACCCATAACTCTCTCCTGACACACCAGGACATAGCATTGAGTGTGACAATGTTCTTTCTCAAAGGTGAGCCATGAGCGCAACATACAAATTCCAAAATGCAGTCCTGGGAGTTTGACACACATTGATTAACAAGCTATCTGGTTATTTATACAGATTCTCTCTCTCTCTCTCTACATTATATGCGGGGTTACATAGTGTATCAAGAACTGCCTACGTGATGCTAAACAGCCCAATCACACAGGGTGATTAGTCATATGGGTAGTAAAGGCTTGAGAGAGAGAGAGAAGGCAAACATAGCTTGGTTATTGCATCTTGTTTTAAAAAGGGGTAAGAATAAGAAGAGTCATGTTCCATAAAAATACTTTACAGCAACCATTATTTATGTGCAGTAAGAGGGAAACGGGATCCGCACATACAATTTCCAAGCATTACAACGCTATCGAGGTAAACATAACATAAAGACAATAATATAGTAGTATGGTATTAATCAGCTAGTCAAAACTTAACATAACAGATATTATTTCACAGTTTTAACCTTTGCAAGTTTTCCAATGTTTTCTCTTCACTTGTGCTAAGTGAGTCACACAAAATGTGGCATTTCATTATTAGCCAGGCAATATGCTATTAGCTAGATAGTCAAAACATATAACAAGCATTATTTCACAGGATTTATTTTTCTAGCATATATGGATCCTTTAAGCAGTTGATCACATCAAACACCAGCAGTCCGCGAAATTCTCTTTAGTCAATAATCATCCTTTACAGTATTTCTTGACTAAAATAGCACTCCAAACATAAGTGGTCATTTTTATTCTCACTGTCGCACTTATAGTCAATAATTTGTTTCGCAGAGTGACAAGTTATGCTTAGTGACGAGATTTCACGGTGAGCATAGTTTAAGAGAGTTCACAGTGTATTAATTACGGTCATGGATATGTTATGTTATGTTTATGAAGATCATTACTTCTTATTTTTACCCATTTTCCCGCGCCCAGCTTTTCAGTCTTCTCATATTCTTTTCAAATAAAGTTTGCTTACTGTTTTTTCCAGTAGATTGGTTTCACATTACATATATTAATCAACTTTCAAATTCAGTTCAGTTTCTTTTCAATATCACAGCTTTGTTGTTCCCCTGTCAGTATCTAGTTCAAGACCTCGTATTATCAATGTCATTAATACTACTATCATCAACCATGTATTGGATGTCTCAGACATTCAGTTAACAACTTAGTAAGTGTTTAATGAACGTGGGAATCACTTCATGTGTGCTCATTTTAGTTTACTTTAAAGTTTTCCATCTTGAATTAATACTACTATCACCAACTATGTATTGGATAGCTCAGACATTCAGTTAACAACTCAGTAAGTGAAAATCACTTCATGTGAGCTCATTTTTAGTTTAGGATAAGGTTTTTCCATCGTAAAATACTATTATCATCAACCATGTATTGGGTGGCTCAACCATCCAGTTTGCAACTCAGTAACTGTTTACTGAACATAAATATCCCTCCTTGTGACCTCATTTTTTAGTTTAAAGTTTCTCCATCGTAAAAAAATAAAATATCACTATCACAAACCTTGTATTGGCCGGCTCCGGCATTCAGTTTACAACTCGGTAAGTGTTTACTGAACGTCAAAATCTTTTCCTGTGTGCCCATTTTTAGTTGAACCCGTCTCCACTCCAAACCGGACCTGCGGTCCGAGTCGGGACCCTAAGTCCTGACAGGTTATTGGCTTGGCTTGGCTTGTTATTACTCGGCTTGGCTCCCTCGCCTTTACTTAACGCCTCTACGTATGGTGACAACTGAGTGCCCGGCGTCTCCGTGCGCATCTGTCTGTCTAAGGCTGTGGCGGCCTGTTGGACTAGTTCCTTATAACTCACCAACGCTCCCTCTGCAACTTAAAATGGCCCCATAGCAGAAGGTAACGTTTTGCAGAACAATTGCTCGGCGAAGCGCTCTGCCTGACTCGAATTTAACTCCAGTTCCGTAGTGAGATCGTCAACTCTACTCTTTAATAACGTCCCGAAATCTTTGATAGTGCTGCGGTCATCCTTCTTAAGTGACTGCAGGTAATTATGAGCCTCATCTTCTGACACCTTTTCTTTAAATCTGTCCCTAATTGCTTGGACAAACTGAGGCCAAGCCAAGGTGCTGAAACTCTGTCACTCTCGCCAGTGGACCGGCTATGTCCACGCAAGCCCCCATAGCAAAAGTAATTTTCAAACTATCCTCTGGGACAGCCTCCAGCATCGTACTAATCTGACAAAGCCAATCTTCCACCTGGCGGTTGCGTTCCACTTATTAAGCGGCAACTCCGTACCTCTGAGTGTCGGCAGAGTCAACTTGGGAATCAGACTCATAATTCCCGGTTTGTGTGATGCTGGGCTACTGGAAGTGGTTGGGCCCTGGGGCTGGGGTATGGATTGAGGTTGGGGATGAGGTATGGTGTGGGTGGCCTAGGGTTGGGGTATGGATTGAGGTTGGGGTTGGGGTTGAGGAATGGTGCGGGTGGCCTGGGGTTGGGAAAAAGGTAGCGGTATGGCTTGGGTGGTCTCGGGTTGGGGTATGGATTGAGGTTGGGATTGGGGCTGGGGTTG